TCTGCACTAAGATTTGCAATCCAAAGGACTGAAGAAGCTTCAGTCTCCGTTGTCATCAATAATTGGTGAGCAATATCATTTGGCACTTCCAACAGACAGCCGTCTAGTGTACACTTTATTGTACAGTTCAATCTACACAAAGTATCTCTTCCCAAAAGTGCAATAGGTGTATGTTCTGATACCAGTGTAGGTAATTTAGTCTTCATATTTTTAGAGCAGAGCTCAATTGGTTCTGTGAGAGGAATCAGCTGTTTCACTCCCTCAAACCCGATTGTCCGAATCCATTGGCCAGACATGGGGAGATGTATAGCATCTTCAGGCCGAATACAGGTGAAAGCAGCTCCGCTATCCGCCATCACTTCCAATGGTCGATTATTTACCTTCACCTTTATTGTTGGATCTCTCTCCGGCCTTGATGCTACTAGCTGACTCCCCCCTCTCGGGTCCTCTGGGCACCTCTAGAATCCTGGTTCCGGACCCCTGTAAGGGTTCACCGTTCCCCCGAATGGCCTTGGTTGGCCCCTGAAGCCTCCTCTGAAATTTCCTCCTGGTCTGTTGCACTCACGAGCAAAGTGGCCAAACTGTCCACAATTATAACACACTTCTAAAAACCGTTGAAAATTTTGATTAAACCTTCCTCCTCTTCCTCTTCCTAAATTTCCTCGACCTCTTCCTCTCCAGGTCTGCGCTTGACCAAAAGTTGGCTGTGGGGAGGCAGCAACTGGAACCACCAACGATGGCTGAAACGACTGGGGCTGAACCTGATTTGACTGCGGTTGTGGTAATGGTTGATTTAGTGGAGACTGACTCTGTATAACCAAGGCCTGCTTCTTCTCCTTCTTCTTGTTATCCACCAGTTGTATTTGATGAAGTTTTCTGAGGGTTTCTTGGTCCTGTTCTTTCTGGTCATGTTCCTTTTTCCTGTATAGCTCCACTTGATGGGCTATGTGATCCGTATAAACACCCTTTGCCATGCTTCCAAGACCAACCACCTCTGCCAGTTTACTCCTCACTGGTAGAGGCAGCCCCTTCTGTATCTTGGCTCACAAAATTGACTGCTCCATTTGATTCAAATCCGGGTCATTTCCTGTAACATTTCTCCCCACTTGATGGGCCCTCAGGTTTTCTTCCTGTCCCAGTGGCTCAATAAGAATATTATCAGGATGTACATTTGTCAGAAATGTATCTCTCAACGCTCTCCACACTCGACCTCTATTTGCAGAAAACAGCTCTAGATCATTCACAGCAGTCCCCAGTTCTCCGGTGCTTTTTGGCTTTCTGGTTTAATGGATTTATCCAAATACGAAAGACATTGACCTATACTTCTCTCAACCTCTCTTAAAGCTCTCTTTTTATCCTCTTCTGTTCTGGTACTGGATGCCGCAGGAAAAAACCCTTTCGAAGACAAAAGACCCCCACTCTCTGAATCTCCATCACTGTCTCCATTCTCGTTCTCGTTAGAACTATCATCTCCCCTCTGTTCCGCTCTCACCAATATTCGCCTGACTGCAGGGTCATATCCACCCATGATCCCTTCCAGGTCACTTTGATCGCCATCATCTCCAGATTCCATCTTCTTGATCCTCAGTTCACCCTTAGTTTCCAAACGTGCCATTTTCTTCTTACTTTTGGAACTTGGATACGTGGACACAAGCACCTGCATTGTTTTAATTACATCTGGGTAAGGGTCCCCTCCACTGGCCATGGTTGGTCAATTTCAGACCAACACTTATGCCATTTCTCCGATATCTTTGCAATGCCTTTAACTAAAACATTATTCTTCTGCACTACATCAACAGGAGTAATTACTTTCAAAATTTTAATGTCCTTTATCGACATTGTAACGGCTCTCTTTTTTTTTTTTTAAACTACAGCATATAGTATCATATAAACAAGTAGTTATACTCCATTAACCCCAAATTGAGAACTATTCTTATCTTATACGTAAAAGCAGATTATATATGTATCAACAATAATGACTATAAATAAGTATACATACATATATTTAGAATGCAGGTATTTGTCAAAAAAGAGTTTTGTGGATAAAACACACTGGCCTTAATCAGACTGGAGTCAGAAGGGCATGCGGTCGTCAGCAGACCTCAATCCGTGTCAGCGCTGGAGCTGGCCTCTCCCCTCTTCTCTTTCTCTCTCTCCCCTCCAATTCTCACACACCAGTGGTGGATAAAGGAAAAAAACAAATCAAAATTAAGTATCAAATGAACCCACTAGGTATTTTTAACAACACAATAAGCAATCCAATATGATTTACGCACGTTATCCGCCAACACTTAGGTCATTTTTATCTATACCAAATGTTTTCCTCCTTTAAACACTAAGTTATCATCAATACAGAAATTTCAGTTTATTTCACTCTAATAACACCTTAAATACTTTTTCTTTACCCATGCACACAAACATCCTCACTGGTCTCTCCACTCCTCTCCAAAATAATAAACGTCCTTCTTGGGGGCTCATAAATGTTATCTAAATTCAAAAATGTCCCCCAAGAACAGCTCATAAGTGTTAACAAAATCTAAGAAGCGTCCTCTCGTAGAGGTTCATATGCTTTTACATATTATCATTTATACATTCCTAAAGCCAGTCACACAGCTGGAACACAGCCAAGACAAATCACACACACACACACACACACACACACACACACACCACACACAAGAGACCAGCTCCGCACACGCACAGTAAGGGGCAGTCCCCCTCACACAGGAGCACACAGCGAGCTCAAAAAACACAGAAGACAAAAAATAACATTTAATCCTATAACATGCTTTTTCCTGCTGCTCCTTTTTCTCTTTTTCTTCTAAATTTATGCTACCTTTATGAGGTGTGAATATTCAATAAAAAGCTGCTTCAGACACTGTTCGTCAACTAGTGTTTGAGTGGGAACTTTACAATTGAATTTTCCATTCCACACCTCCAGTTCCTTTGAACTGACCCGAAATTCACCTAGTGATTTTCCAGGATTTTAGGCCCGTCTAAAACCGCCTCCCAGAGGGCTTTGGTCCAAATCTGCGGCTTCTTTTCTCTTTTAACTCGTATCATCTCTATTCTCTTTAACTTCTCTTATTTCTCTTTAACTCTTCTCTATTTTCTTTAACTTCTCTTATTCTTGCCTCTTTTTTTTCCCCATTAATCTAATTTCCCCAGGGCCCTGGGCTGTTACTTTTCACTTTTTTCCCTTATTAACCTGATCTGACTATTTCTCTAAGCCAACTTTCACGCAGTGACTAATATACACATGTCTCACCGTTAAGAAGATAAGGGCCCAACCTTCATTAATCTCGCATGGTGTTATTTAGCTTACCATATCGTTACTAATTAGGCTATTCTACACTTTTACATCAGCTTTCCTTTTCTCTATTATACTCCCCCTTTTTATTGCGGCGTTCACAATGCAATAAACTCCAATTTAGAACGAAGAATCACTCCAAACATCAACACAGCATGGCGCACACACACATGATTCTTTACGGTGCAACAAGACAGCAAACATCCAACAGCCTTAACGAACAAACCAGCGCACAAACATGTGAAAATCTCACCTGAAATGCCGGCAGGTGCGGGAGTAAGTGCGCTAAAGCTGTCAGCGACGCAGCCAGCCACAACACGTCCGAAGTTCGTGACGCCAAATTCTTGTTGTTTATTAAGTAGCGGTGATGTGAAGATGATGAAGGAGACTCCGCTGACACCGTCTTATTTGTATAAGATGTTTATTACAAAGTAAAACAGTATCATATCAAGCACTATAAAGTACCTGAGAGAGGATCCGTGCCAATTCTAAAGTGTCCCCTCCAGACCACTATAGCCAACGGCTTATATAGGCTGCATGTTGTTGAAAAAAGGAGACAGAACATATGGTCCTTATTAAAATGATCTAATCTATTTGGAACTAAGAGAAGAAGGGAGAAAGTGAGAGGCCTACTCCCTATGGGGCCTTTGGACCAGGGGGCCCCCTTAACTTAAACATTCCAAAACCTGCAAAAACAGAACACATGGAAATTCAGACCTCAACTTATACTAGAAGTTAAGAGTGTTTTTGCCTTCTTCTATAAAAGTCACTCTTTTTAAATATACTTCATGTTAAATTAGACAGTTTGTTTCTAGCAGCTTTAGGACCAAAAAGAAGAACCTGTTTTGTCTGATGATTTGAGATAGGGCTATATTTTGATAGATCACAGGGATCAAGATAGGGTTTCTTAACCAGAGGTCTAATTACTTCTAGTTTCAGTTGTTGGTATATAGCCAAGGCTAAGAGAGGAGTTTATTATTGACAGACGATGATTTCTGGCAAAGGAATTGGATATAATATGCAAGTAGAAGATATTTATTAGGAGAAAATAATTTTAACTGGCTCAGTTTGTTGAAGTAAAGTCAACAATTCCAGCCTCTCTGCAGTTGTTACAATATACGGAAGATCTGTAGAAGTTAACGGTGCTTTTGAATTTTTTTGCCTGTTTTAATTTTATTATTGGAGGAATGCATGAAAACTTTGCTGCTGAGTTCCTGTCTGTGTTGTGTTGCGAATCTGGGCTTAGGAGGTCTGTGATATTTTGTTTCTCTGATTGATGAAAACAGTTGTAATGTATCTTGCAGAAGAGGTTGCCAATACAAACTGCAATGCATTTCGTTTTTCTTGTAAGTTTTCCCATTGATTAAATTGACCAGACATTTTAACAGATTTTTTTTTATGGCAGAGTTTACACCTACTATAGGGTATGTGTGAATTATAAATTAGAACTTAAAGCTATGTTGAAACTGTTACTTGGTTTAAAATAGGCTACAAATGAACTTGCGTTCAGCTGATGAAACTGGCTACTGAACATTTGGGCTTCTTCGATTAAAATAGGTTCTTAACCATCAATGAATTATGGTCTTTAGACCTAATTGATGTCCAAAAAGTCAATCCACTGAAGACCATGTCTCTAAAGTCTGCAATGTATAGCAACTATGTTCAGTCTTATCTTTTTTTTCTACCACAGTGATGCACAATCCTGAGCTGCCATTAGACCCCAACCTGCAGACGAGTAACCTGCTCATCACATTTCTCAAGTACTCCTCAATTGTCATGCAAGACACCAAAGGCAATTCATTGTTTTTCTGCATAAGCCTTTGCCTGCCTTCATTTCTCATTTGTTGTACATTTGTCAGTTGTCCTCTGTTTATAGACCACCCTCCTCTCTCACCTGTTAAACTTTCTTACCTTCCCTCTTCAGATGAACACAGACTTAACAGTGCTCGACTATGCCTCATCATTCTTACCTGTATAGCTGAGGTAATTTCTCTTTTGCACTTTTTTTGTCAATCCTTCTGAGTTCAATTGCTTCCTCTGTATTGTAAATTGAATTTTATTTAACCTCTGACTTTTGTGTTCATTGAGCAGGACCAGTATGCTGATGCCTTTCTTCATGATGACAACATGAACTTCAGAGTAAATTTGCACAGAATGGTGAGAAAGCACAGTGTCATGTAATCCATCAGGGCAAACATGAGCATTTTGTTCCATTGATAAAAACAAAGAATTTGATGTTTGTCATGTTGAGAAATGAATCATGAATGAAATTGTGGGCTGTATCGTATGGTAATTTCTGATTGGATAATTGCAGTACTGCTGTGGAACACTGGTACACTGTGAGAAACAACTTAATGTGGGGTGGTCATATTCAGGAATTAAATTTCTATAGTCTAGTTAATACTTTTATTTTGGGTATTTAAACAATTATTAATCCTACCATTAAATAAAAGATCAATGTAAACATTGTGTAGATGACTCATACAATATCAATTTCACAAAAAACTCACAACTCATTTGTTAATTTTGACAGATTTTTGTTTTTATGAATGTGGTTATTTCATGTGGTTATTTACATATCGCTGCTGTTGGAACAAAACCTTGTACCTCCATTTTTGAGGATTTTCAGTTTCTGATATAATTTGAAAATACCTATTGTTCTTTACATTGTGTGTAAATTTCATGACAAATTAACCAAAAGAAACATTTTCTTGTCTAAAATCCAGTTTAATTTCAGGAGAGGTTTCTGAGGAGATGAAGTATAACATAATACACTTGCATAAGGAAGAAGAAAGTCAAAAGGGGGGCCACTGAGAGGGGGACTGGAGTGTCCAAAACTGGAGTGCAAAAAAATGTTTATAAATCTGAAAACATCCACAGGCGTTTTTGTCTACCCTTCCACTGTGAGAGGACAACTTGGTTCTGTGGGTCTGAATGGATCTGTAGTGGTTAAGAAGCCGTTGCCAAGAAATTTACATATCAAAGAAAGAAACTTCCACCCTAGAGCCCAGACCCCAGTGTCATTGAATATGTTTCGGATTGCTTGGATTGTGTGAAGCTGAAGTTGCAACATCTAAGGCTGAACTTATCTCTCAAAGATTTTCAAAGATTCAAATCATATCTCCTAAAAAGAATGGAAGCTATAATAAATACAAAAATTTATATATAATTGTTGAGGGTTCAGTAGAATTTTCTGCTGAAGTGTTTTCTGCATTTTTCCCCTGAACCTGAAAAATGAGTAACATGTACTTAATCTCAGTTTTGCCTGGAAATTTACAGGTACTGTCTGACTTTTGCACAGTATTGTACCTTTGCCATGCCTTGAATTATTTCTCGATAGGCCATCTTTTTAATAGAGTGTAAACATGCTGAAACTTACAGACTTATGTGTGTTGATGTCTTACGTGTATGACCAAAAGTATATGCAATTCTCAGTGACCTGTTACCTGTGTGTGTGTGTTTACCAGCCAATGAGACATAGAAAGAAAGCTGCAGCCAAGAACATCCCTTCACGGCCCCTGGTGTGTGCTGTCTTGGGTAAGGTTGTTTAAATATGCTGAAAACAGTTAGTTATGAAACACAGGAAACAAATACAAAACAAAGTATGCATACTTAAATCCTGTTTGTGGTTGTATTTAAACCATCTTAACTTATCTATAATCACTTAAGATTTCGTTAAGATTTGTTTATGTATGTATGCAGGAGTTCATAAACTTGTTTTAAGTTTGGGGTTTAAAGTTAGTTTAGTTTAGTTTAGTTAGTGGCTGAATTTGTACATTTCAGTTATAATATTCAAATCCCTTTGCTGTGATTGACTCTACTTAAATACAAGTAATTTCATTTCATTTGTTTTTTTTTACTTTTTTTTTGTTTTTTCTCTTCATAGATTTGATGGTTGAGTTCATAGTCACTCACATGATGAAGGAATTTCCTATGGATCTCTACATGTAAGACCGCATCTTGCATTAGCTTTCCGCCCCAGCTGCAAGTCAGATAAACACAGATCTTAATTATGTTAGTAATACAGGCATCCTTTTGATTTGATGATGGCTGTAACAGCAGGGTGTAGCCTTAATGATTTGCCTGGGGCAGTTTTTTCAGGGACAACCAATTTGTTGAATAACATACTGGCACTGTCTTCATTAGCTTTTATATACCACCTCTCCACAAGAAAATACTCTAATCTAGTTGTTTGTGAAGTCAAGCCAATTGCATTCTTTGTTGATAATTGTCTGCAGCATGAGACATGATTCAAAATGCCAGCGACACAGGAGTGTGATATAAAGCTAGTAAGAAATTTTATTTTCTCACCGAGCAATTAATGACCTTGGGTTATGCTGGAGATATTTCAGACAATTTGAAGGTTTTACTCCCAACAGAGCAGACAAAGCAGGAGCACTGGCTTTGTAGAAAAGTCAGAAGATTGTAAGAAAAAGTTCTGTCATCTCATGTGTATGAGCTGAAAATGCAGGTCTCTAAACAGGAGTACTGGACATGTGTATGACGAATGTATACCACAGAAGTTTTAATTAATAATAAAGATGATAACTCAGACACACAAACAAATAGTAGTAAAAATGACTGAGTTCTTTGCAAATGTAAAGCACATGTGAATGGATAGCTGCTTTTGCACCTAAGAGTAAATATTTATCATGCATTTAATTATGGTAGTAGTAATAATTAATTTGGGACAGCATGAGCTCAATTGAACAGTGAAACTCTGTCCACTTAAGAGTTGGGGAAAATGTTGAACCCTAAACAAGCTATGACTTCTTGTCATTGTTTTTTTTGTTTTTTTTTGTTTGTTTTTTAGGAGGTGTGTACAGATAATTCACAAGCTGATTTGCTATCAAAAGAAGTGCAGGGTTAGACTACACTATACTTGGAGAGAACTCTGGTCAGGTATGACATGCACATCACTGTATATGTATATGTCTGTAATATGTCACTATGTTAGACTCCCTTGTCTATAAAGGGACTAAAGGTGTAGGGTAGCACATAGAATGTCTTTGCATGCAGTTTCTTTTGACTAACCCATCTTTTTTTTACCATCTCACATTCCTATGCACAATCTTTTTAGCTATATAGCCACAATCTCTCAGCATCACAGTAGTTTATTTTTATTTAACAATAGATGTTTTATTGTCAATTTTCATATAACTAAAACACCTGTTATCAGTTTTTATAATTTGAAAAGAATTTTGTTTCTTCAGTTAATTTTCAAAACTATGATTATAATATTTGTTTTTTGGTTAAATATAATAAGCTGTGATGTGATTGATTCATTGAATTAGGGTTAGGGTATTAGAGTTAATGTTTGTTGTTTGGGTTGTTCAATTTAATTTTGATACTTATCTATTAAGTTGAACCTAGCAACAGTTTATATGACTTGAAAAATATGTTTTTGCAGCATTATGCACAATGCACTGTACTACAGTCCCCAACATGCACTGCACCATAATGTGCGCTCTGACTCTTCTAGACCAACAACAGTTAATGGGACAGTGGTTACACCTCAGTTCTACACAGTTCCATACCACTCATATTGCCAAACACACTAACTGCAGTTTAGCCAATATAAACACTTTATATAAAACACTTTAGCTCAGCAGCTCAGAAATTGAGCCCAAGTCTTGATGAACTTGCAGCAAAGAAAACTTTGTGTCTAGTTCAAGCAAATAGGTAGGTTTAAAAGACTGAGCTCCTGGGGACATTTAAATTGGGAATATTTCAAGTATTCATGTAATATTTCAAGGTCTATTACAATTGCCTATATTTTACTGTTGAAGTTTTTGCATATTTTGAATAAACAATGGTCAGTTTGGTTTATAGTAAAATATTAATTACAAATGAATTAAAAGATAGGTGTTCTCGGGCCCATGAATTTGTTGAGATTTTTTGAGTTTGACACCCCTGATTAACACTATCAACTGAGTTTAGAAGCATTTTTCTGACACCACCAAGATACAGTCTTCCCTAATATTAATATCTGCTTGCAGCTCTCAGCTTGGGTTCAAGGCAAATATTTTTATTGTTTGTATTAATTTATTCTAATATAAAAAAAAAAGAAAAAACACAGACTAAAGTAACATTACTAAAGAAATGTAAAGAACTGGAAAAGAAATGTAACTCTCTGATCCAATTCAGGAGGCAAACAAGCTTCAGATCAGTATTAATGCTTTTAAAATACAAACCCCATTTTCAGAAAAGTTGTGACATTTTGTAAAATGCAATCAAAACAAGAATCTGACCTTCAGGGACAGTGTTTCTCCTGATATTATTCTGGAGTTTATTTAGAAACTTTGAGAGTTTTTGGAAATTCTTACAATGGGTGCACTGGCTTTGCCCAGCCTGCCAAGAAAGCAAAGGAAAGGCAGAGGGGCCAGTGCAATTTGTAAGGCTGATACAGCGTGGGTCTCATGCACATTTACCGTCTTTATTTCTCTCATACACATTTACTGTCTGTATTTATCTGCAATATCTACACAACAAATAAAAACTGCTTATGCGTGGCAAAACCAACAAGGACTTTTCAATCGCATCTGCCCTCTGCTTCACGGACACCTGGCTTTACTACTACTCTGCTTCCAGCTGCACAGAACAGACAAAGATGTGGAGCTCAGCAGCAAGTCAGAGGAATCTGCTTCTGTCAGCTAAGGCTGGTGTCATGACTGTCACGGCTCTGTTAAAATGATTCACTACTTTCCATCAACTACAAACTGTTCTGCTCTACACCACTGTAAAAAAAAAACAAAATTGTGCCGTCATGTTCATTCCTCGCTATTAAGTTGCACATATGGACTTCGGTAACAAATGTCGACTTTTAATCACCTCTTTAGCTGACCTATGTGTCTCCACCCATATTGGGGAAGCAGTTATGGTGGTCTGAAATCACACAATGTAGGTCTGGTGGGAATATACCAAGGCTGAATGTTTAAAGTGATCGATGGCTTTGTGTCTGACTGACACAGAGTTAGAGTGAGCAGAGAGACACGCTCACTGCGTTTGTTCATTAGAACAGCAGTGTACACTTGGCTTACGTCAACCGGTATCAGTAGGTATCGGAATTTTGGTATTGGTAAATTTGAAGACTATGAGAAAATGAGCAGTATTGGTATCAATGCATCCCTAGTTTTTACAATTCAAGCTCTGCCCATTATATTTAATGTAAGAAAAAATGGTCCGTTGTACTAACTAAATGGATGGACTTGGCACAGCTAAAAACCCTATTCATAAGACTTAATAACAAGCTTGGCACTCGATATGAGCCAGAGGCTAAACAACAGCTGCATGGAAATTTGGAATTTGCAATTTCTGAATGACTTTTCTTAGCCAGGGGTCTTGGTGCTTAGCCACCCCAGCTCTGTGGAGCCTCTTTCCATCTTGCCTTCACGGCATTCCAGGCCAGCGCTCAATCCACAGCGTCCACCTGGGTTAAAATTGTGCTGAAGCTCATGCTGGCTGACTAAGGTTGCGTTTGATGCGCTAGCGAGAAGTGCCCCAAAAATGAAAAAGTTTTTCTTGTGTGCGGGATAGCCTCTCTGTTCGTGTTGGGGAGGATTTTGTCACCAAATGTGCGGCAGGGTTTCACTTTAGCTCCAAAACAATCTCAGCAGAACCGGTGCTTTTGACACGTGGCGGATGCTGCTTCTCACCACCTCGCTTCAATGCCGGCAGTGGATGCTTGTGCCGCTTCTGGTAGTGTCACCAGATGAAGTGCTCTACCTGGACCCACGTTGCCCCAGTATGGAATGTAGATGCACATATGAGCTTTTTTCGAGGGCACACAGTGTATGGCTACCAGGGTGGCCAGGGTTGTTATCTCTCTCCCTTTTGCTCTTGGCTTTGCATTCTTATCTGTGAACTGGGAAAAGACCGAACTGTCTGCATAACAGCAGTTTATTGGTATGGTGCAGAACTCCCAAATGATGTTGGCCTCATTGCCCATGGTCTAAGCCCAGGTGATTCTGCTACTAATTCGCTGCAAGGGTGCAGTGCTAAATACTACTGTGGCTTGAAGGTCTTTTCACAGCATAGGTCATTGCACTGGGGAAGCTTTATTTGAGACGCTTCCAGATGTGGCTGATATCTCTAAGGCTGCGCCGCAGGCGTGCAAGGGCTCATCTCTGGGCTCCCATAAGCTGTTTGTGGTCTTCTTGAAAGAGGCACGGAGACTTTGTCCGCTTCTAGTGACTGTATTGTGTTGACATTGCAACTTTTTTAATAGACTAGACCTTGCTCAAAAGTGTATACAATTTTGTAGGTTGTTAAGTAGGCTGATCTATATGGTTCTTGAGGTTTTTGTAGACCATGAGACAAGAAATTAGAAATAAAATGTTTTCTCTGAGATATACAGGGCAGAATCTAGTCTCTGACAGGGGTAATCAGTCCTGGTTCTGCCACCCTGCAGAGTTTAGTTTTAACCCTTATCTAGCATATCTGATCCAAATAATCTGAAAATCTGAAAATTAGAACCAGTTGTGTTGCATCTGAATTCTACAGAGTGGTAGATCTCCAGGAACAGGATTGGGCACCTTTGCTCTCTGACATACAGAGCTAGAGATATAGACCAAAGCACTTGATGCTTTGCTGTAGCGCCATTGTCTGGCCAATCAGGCTGAGCTTGTTGACCTGAGTAGCAAGAGGGGCTACTACCCATTGACCAAGTTTCATGTCTGTTCAATTGGTTTGCACGATTTGTTAAGGCAGAAAAAGAATAATAGAAAGAAAAACCCTAACAATTTCAAGATGGTTCCCCTAATAATCAGAGAAATCCTAGCAATAAGAGTCTTAACCATTACGTGCTTGAACCCTACATATAGCTGCAAGCATCAGTTAGAGGTTCTAGCATGATTTTGGATTTGCTATGTGCATAGGATGACTGATGTTGAACTAATTATTTTCGGTCCACTTATTATTGTTACTTAGTAGTCGTTTTATATTCTGTTGAATACTGTGTTTGAATCATGAGAATTAGATTGGGTACAAATTACTTCCTTTATGAACTGGTTTGGCAACATTGGCTAGCAGTAACTTAAAAATCCTGCAGGAAAATGGCTTCATGTTTGGTATATTCATGGCGTGAAACGTATTATATTTCCATGTAAGTTGGAACAGCAATTGAATTGCTGTTTTTTGGCACCCTCTATTGACATGTCCAACAAACTTTGCTTGTTTCATCATTAAGCACAGGGCAAGTGTACCACATTTTGTGTCAGTGCATTCTTGATATTGCTCTTTTGTGTTGGAAAAAAAAATACAAAACAAACAAACAAACAAAAAAAAAAAATACAGCGCTCTCAACCATTATTGGCACCCCTCGTTAAGATGTGTTAAAAGCCTTAAAATAAATTCAGTTTTTATTTCAGAAGCCTAATCTCACACTGAAAATTGTAGAAAAATGTAACCTTTAACTAACCTTTAACTCTTTAAAAATTGGCCCAATTATTGGCACCCCTAACAATTCCTAGAAAATAAATGTAATTGAAGCATTTCTGTTATTTCTACTGTAGTTTATAAAGTTGATCAGAGTATCTAGGAACCTTTAATTAGTAATTCATCACTTCCTGTTTCCCTGGGGTATCCACTCTTCAACATAGGAAAGACAAGAGAACACACCATTCAAGTAAGGCAGATGTGTGTCGACCTTCATAAGTCAGGCAATGGCTACAAGAAAATAGCCACTCGCCTACACCTGCCCATATCTACAGTCAGAGGAATCATCAAGAAGTTTAAAACAACTGGAACAGTGGCAAACAAGCCTGGACGAGCACACAAGTTTATCTTGTCACCACGCACAGTGAGGAGGATGGTAAAAGGAGTAAAAAGTTCTCCAAAGCTCACTGTTAGAGAATTGCATCAAAGAGTAGCATCTTGGGGTCACAAAGTCTCCATAACAACCATCAGGCACTATCTACATGCCAACAAGCTGTTTGGGAGGCATGCACGGAAAAAACCTTTTCTCACTTACAAGCATAAACGTAAACGTCTGGAGTTCGCTAAGCGGTACTGGGACTTCAACTGGGACCATGTGCTTTAGTCAGATGAGACCAAGATAGAGCTTTTTGGCAACAAACACACTGAGTGGGTCTGGCGTAACACAAAAGATGAGTATGCGGAAAAGCACCTCATGCCCACTGTGAAGGATCGGTGATGCTGTGGGCCTGTTACTCTTCCAAAGGCCCCGGGAACCTTGTTAGGGTGCATGGCATCATGAACTCATGAACCAGGACATTTTAAATCAAAATCTGATGGCCTCTGCCCGAAAGCTGAAGATGGGTCGTCACTGGGTCTTTCAGCAAGATAATGACCCTAAACATGTGGCCAAAAATGGTTCACCAGACACAAAATCCAGCTCCTTCCATGGCCATCTCAGTCCCCAGACCTCAACCCAATTGAAAACCTGTGCGGTGAGCTGAAGAGGAGAGTGCATAGGAGAGGACCCAGGACTCTGGACGATTTAAAGAGATTGTGCAAAGAGGAATGGTCGAAGATCCCTCTCTCTGTATTCTCCCATCTTGTGAAATGTTATAGGAGAAGATTAAGTGCTGTCTTGTTGGCAAAAGGGGGTTGTACAAAGTATTAACATCAGGGGTGCCAATAATTGTGGCACAGATGATTTCATGTAAAAGAATTTTTTCTTAATGTGGGATTTTTTTCCCACTGAATAAATGCACTTGAATTAAAGGTTGGATTTTTCTCTTTTTTTGCATTGTTGTCCTATATTATTAGAATTTATTAGAAGCCTAAGAACACATCTTAACGAGGGGCGCCAATAATTGTTGAGGGCGCTGTATATATGGATGACTAACACAAACTGTGCAGCAATAGATGAGTCACTCTCTTATACTTTACATGTAGAAGTTGGACCAACAAGGTAGGTTTGTCTAATAGAGAAAAAAGTGAGTGGACACAGTGTTTAAGAACTCCGGCAGCAATGCTGTGTTTGATCCACTTGTACTGCCACGACAAATTTAAAATCAATCTGTAAAATCAAAGTAAATGTCAAAAAATGACTTGCACATTGTTGTACCACCTAAATCAATGAGTATGGGTAGGGCAGTCTGACCAAAAGGGGTTTAATAAGGGCTATAATGCTGTCAAGGATTGTCCAGTTGTGATCAAACTTATACTGAATATCTGAAAATATTTGCTAAGTTAATCAAAAACATGTTGACAGTTTTAAACTGCATGACCACCATAGGCTAATTATATTGATTCCTGATGTTGCCACCAGTGTATAGCATGACAGTTTCTCATGCAATGCTGTCTGAGGGCTTGAATGTGACATTTAGCTGTGGTTTCCAGCCTTGCCCTGCGTGGATTGAGATTTCTTGAATCTTTTTCTCAATATTATATATGGTATATGGTGAAAGACCTAAATTCTTTGCAGTCTTGCCTTGAGAAATCTTGGACCCCGGGTACTACCCCAGATAGTTGTCTCTCCCGCTGCTCAGGCACATGAAACGAGTTCAGTCGGCTTCAAGGGGACACTATAGTGCAGTGAAATGTCAGCATATAACTCCTAAACCATAAGCTGTAGTCACAGTTTTTTGGCTCAAACTTTAATAGTCTGCAATTTTGACCATTTACTTTCATCACCATTTTTGCTAATTTGCATAATATGCAAAACATCATTTTGCAAGGTAGGTTTTTCATCCAGGCATCGTATATGTAGCAGACTTGGCTAAGTATTTCTAAGTTATAAACTGAAACTGAACATTCCTTCTGGGACAAAGTTTACTTTGTCGTCAGATAGAATCCATCTTCTCTCTGAAGAGATTACTGGCACCCACCTGTCTGAAAACTTGCTGTAATAACAAGATTAAAATCTGAAACAACCCCAAGTTTATGTCTCTGAAAGATCTGTTGGGACCACTTCTTTTCATTGTACCACATGAAGCATCCTCCCATCCTCATGGAGACAGATTCCAAAGGTATTATAAAACAGCTCTGGGGTCTGTTAAGACTGACTGTGAATCACCCTTTCATGATAGAAATTGTGAAAGAATCACACCACTGCTCTGTATAATGATTGAGATCACTTTGGTGTTTTATTCAATATCAAACTTGAGGTGCCCCCATATGGCTGAAATAAGAAGTGCTGTATTTCCGAAATCTCCATTTATATATTTTCAAATGCCTTTTTAAAATGCAATCCGGGATATGCTGTGATCAATTATCATTGAAAGCTGGGTTTTTATATGTCTCATGGAATTCCCATTTCACTCAAAATTGTCAGAAGTTTGAATAATGTTTAGTTAAATTCAGCCTTCCTAAATTACACATTTTATGATTCTTAAAACTATAATTCGTTGTCAGCAATGTTACTATTATTGAATGAGGCTTTTTACCTTGTTAACTTCTTTTCCCATTTAATCATTGTTTGACATTTCATAATGTTAGTTCATACAGTCTTTGAATTTTGTTTTCCTTAGTAAGAAATGTCATGTTTCTGTTTTGTTTACTATTAATCACGTTATTGTTGGAAGTAGGATTGTTTTCGTACGTTTAGTACTTCAACTAGTTCTTATGAGTAAGCCAGACAAAGGAATTAAATATTCATTTGAAAAAGAGCGTGAAAATTCCCGGCCCTAAATTCCTCCCAGGGAAAGGGTCATTTTAACACTAAGCACACCAACAGAGCTCAGTTCAGAGAGAGAGAGAAGAAAAATCTAACTGTTAGCAAAAGAACTTGCACTTTAATTTGTCCATTGTCTAGTTTGTCATGTCTTTGTTCAATTTTCTTTTTCTCCTTTGCTCACTTTTAATTTCATAAATATAAATGCTTTTAAAAATAGTTTTTTCACTGTATTTAATTGTTGGACAGTAGCACTTTTCAAAGTAGTCTGAGAATATTTTACTGATCGTTACAAAATTTGTAACGGTTACGGCTTTGTAAACACTTTATCAGAATTTTTTTTTAAGAAAAGGGGGTTACCATCCACTAAGAGTGTTTCAATGAGTTTACTGTACCCAGTGCATCAAAACCAAAAAAAAACACAAACAAGGAGAGAAAATAACAATATTTCCAAAATTATACCTCAGCCAGTTCATTCTCAATATCGTTACAAGTTCATTCAGTCTTTGAGTCCTTAAAAGCAAAAGAATAGGATAGCTCTCATCGGGGTAATTGTCCTTTGATTCTATTCTTTTTCCCAGTCTAGTCTATGAATGCTGTGTACCGTGAAGTCGAAGGAAAGTCTGAATTGCAATTGTCCCCGTTCTGAGTCGGTGTGAGCCAAATGTAGAGATGAAAGCTTTGTCCAAGTGAATTGTGTGTTATCCCCACGGTCCATACGATAATTACCAGTTGTTGGAAAGGTGAGCAACGAGAGAAAGAAACAAAACAAAACAAACAACAAGAAAAAGAACCCTTCTGCAAAAGAAAACAGCATAAAACTTCACATGAATAGAACATACACAAAGATTGGCTGAATATTCTTACACTTAAACAACAACAAACCTACATTGAGTGTATGAACCTACAGGTTCTTCAAACAAGGGTCTTCATCAATGAGGCATGGAGCTAGTCATTTCCACTGGTCTACCATGCTACCTCGTGGATCCCCTTTTGGCTTGTAAATTGATCTCCTCCCACAGCACTGCCACTTAGTGGATGGGGTAGGAATTACCATAAGAGAAAGCGAAAAATGTTGGTCTTGAAATAATCTGTGACATTTAATAAGTAATATAATAAATAATAAATGCTATACCAAGGTCAAAAGGACAATTTGACAAACCGGGTAGACATCATCTTTGAACATTGCTTATCAGGAATCATGATAAATGGAGGCCAGTTTCAAAACTCTTGTCTTTTTAGATTTATCTAATGTTTGTGACAAAGCCCTATACTGGTGCATTAGGCCTCATAGTGTAGATAGGGCTTGTGGCGATTATAATCACTTAAAATTTGAAATGCATTGTTTCACTTGGAGCTCAAAACCATAAGCCTTATCCTCCTGGGTCGTGGGGACTTACATACCATAGAACAAAAATGACCCTGATTCCTCAAATTGGTGCGGGTAAAACCATTTATTTATGTATACCTTTTGTCTGTATGTCGGTTTATAAACTTAATTTAATTAGTAGACTTATTGGATTTTGAACATATATTTCAACTTATCCGACAGCCTTACACTGTGTATGTATTCTGTAGCAAAAAAGGTTTGGACTGCAAAGAATCTGTACTGCCTTTTCAGTTGTCTATATCCCATGTGTTGAATAACAGTGCCACCTAACTAAGCACTTCAACAACTTTGCATGCACACCCCCATACGAAATGTGTTGGTACATATTGATATAAAACGTGCTATCTGAAAGATCTGCAAAGCATTACTGATTGACTGTGTTTCTTTTCCAGCCCTCATTAACTTGCTGAAGTTCTTGCTGTCAAATGAGACCACTTTGCTGGCCAAACACAATATCTTCCACTTGGCTCTACAGGTAAGAGTTTTCACTGAGTAGAATTTTAATGTAACTATTCTACCTTTCAAGCACTTTTCTGAGTACCCTTTAAGCATATTTCTGAGTAAACCTTTCTTCTTTTAGTTGTGTTATGTATAATTTTAAAGAATTTACAAGTGCCAGCTGCTCTTTACCGCATGTTTAAATTTCATGGTGAGTGGACCGATAGAAAACCTCCTAATTGGGGAAAAAAAAGAATTCCTGTCCTGTAAAGTTACCATTTTAGAGATACAAGGGTTTGTTCTGAAAATGACAATGTTTTTTGAAGGCAGTGTTGAGGAGGCCAGAGACCCTTAAGAAGTATCTGGAATGTGATGTGTCTCTGTATAGCTAAACAGCAACAGCAATTTATAGCACCAGTAATGAGCGCTTTGTCCATATTCTGGTCTCAAAACCAGTCTAAAACAAACTGAGACACCACCACTCTTATACCTGGCCATCAACCCCCCTTCAGGACCCTTGGTACCGTCGTAAAAGACCAATCCTGTTGTAAATACATTACTGTCGTAAAACGACCAGAGTTGATGTTGTAAACTCAGTGTTCTGTTCCTGTCCTTGGCAGAACAGAATTAGACAAAGCCATTTACATGTAAATTTGATGTAAATTAGACAATTGATGATTCAAAATTATTATAATTAGAACCAAAGGAATATATTCTTAAGAAAATGCTCTATATTGAGAGACATTAAAGGAGATGATCTATTTCTCTTCAGTGTACATACATATGTTTCATTGATCCTGAAGGGACAAATTTAGGTGGTGTTGTAGCAGAAACATGAAACATTATTGCAGACTAATATCTGCAGGTTTTTGTTTCACAGCTAATTGATTAATCAAAGTCATAATGGACCACCTAATTGATTATGAAAATAGTTGCAGCAGAAAAGATGACCAATAGTGTAAATAATTTTTATTTTAGTCAATAATATATTTAACAAGAACCCAGTGTCATTTATTGAAAAGTGACTTGATTATGTAAAACTTCTTAGGTTTAGTAAGGACTGTGCCCGCAACATTTTGGACTAATTTGGGCTTTGACAACACCTCACACCCCCTGCATGCTGCACTGGATAAACAGAGAAGCACATTCAGTGCAGAGGGTTAAGAGATGGTACTGATCTTCTGCTGTCTGAACTGTGCTGAACCACATCACTATCACCTCTCCTGTTAGTACACACTGTGCAATATATCATAACTGCAACTGTAATGAGACTCTCACTGCGCACTTTACACTGTAATATTGCTGCAACTCCTAGTTATGTCTATACTCATTGTGCTTTTAGACTACCTCATACCACTTAGTGCCTGCCATAATGTAAATACAACATCTGTCTTATGTGCTATGTAAATATGCAAATAGATATACCTTCATTTCTACTCTCTTACTTTAACTTATGTATATTTTTATTGCTATTTTTTCTGCATAGTATATGTACGTTTATGTGCAATTATATGTTGCTAATGAAACACTGCAGTTTCCCCATCAGGATCAGTAAAGTTCTCTATCTATCTATCTATCTATTTATCTATCTATATGTCTGTCTATCAAAGGGTAAACTAATTTCTTGTAGAAAATGTATGTGGCATAACATTATTTTTTACAGAAAAGCTTGTCTAGAAATGCTAGGGGAAAATGCCTGCTTTGAGAACAATGTTTATTTACTGTGAAGCTGAACCATATCTGTGCATTCATGACAATGCATAAACAGTTAGTTTGATTTTATAGCATGAAAAAAAAAATCTTAAAAAGGGACATCTTGCTCCACTATGAGGAACCTTGGATAAGAAGCCTCCCTGGTGAATCTTGCATAAATTTGTTTTACGGAATGTTTGCTTTAACTCTGTAGGGTGTAAGGACATTTTCTTGATTGTTGCATACATTCTTAAATTTGCGTTTGAGGGCACTTTCATGTAACATGATAGCATATATAGCATGTTTCCGATGTCGACCGAATAAAGGTTTCCAATGCGATGGGTGCATTCTTAGTGAGTTCCTGGGTGTCCTTTGGTTAGTTTCACACAAAATGTTAGGCAGATACACATCTACCAATTACACACAGTGAGCGGCAAATGGTGCGTACCTCAACCCCTCTTCATGGCCTCATAACACAGGATGTGAGTCACGTATGATCTCGCAATAAGATGGATTTGAAAGGGCAGACTCTACAGATTCTGAAATTGTTTAAACATATTTCTGTGTTATCACAAAGATAGAGAGACACGTATAAATACATCAAATTTGGCCTGTTTGTAGACCCCAGAGGGTGCATTTCATCAAAAACTGGTTATTAATCAAAGTACATCACCAAAAACATTGAAATTGAGGAACTTAATTTACTTAAGTTGTTTACTTGTTAAATGTCTTGTTGATTCCACCTCATTTAAATAAGCTGTGACCAAAGACAAATGGCAGTGAAACAGAAATGTTTGAAATATCAATTTAGTTGTGATTATTGTTACACAATGATATAAAATTTCTTTTTAATTTCATTACTGCAATTACTGTTATTGTTATTAGTATTAATATTATCATTATTATGATATATAGACAAAAATAACCATTTAAAGCATTCAATATTTCATTGGTATGTGCATATAGTTAGTGCAATGAAATTAGTTGTATAATTGTTGCGAGTTGCCAAACTCTCAGACAAGCTCATCCAGCAATATGGCTAAAAATGGTGCCTAATTTTAGCTAACAATTGCTGTAGCTAGAATGTAATGCTGATGATTCCAAAAAGTACACAAAGGTAGTTAAGCAGTTGAAGGAGCAAGAACAAATGACATTGCAATGTAGACTAGTGCACAAGCAAGGACCAAAAACTTGGTTGAAATTATGGTGAACATGGTTTTTGGCTACTACAGTACTTTGAGCTGAGACAAATTGTACAAACTGCTTGTGTGTTGCTAGTAAATCATTTTAAATGAATGCGGCATCGGTGACGGTTCTGGGTCTGCAAAATCTGTGCACACCTAGCCTTATTAGAGAGGTGATAATTTGATAACTCATAAGTATTTAAAATAGATTTCTTCATAAAATGTGTAACACCTGACTTCTTAGATTTTCTTAATACTTTTCTTTATATTTTTGTAATAGCATTTCAGTAACTGAACTGTTACTATGCACACATTTGCAAAATCTTATGTGAATGTCATTTGGCAACTGTACACAGTAATTGTTCTTTTCACATACAGCTGTGACAGGGAAGTTTAGGAATGGGGCAAAGTGTTCAGGTAGTATTTAATTTGAATAGAATTTTAATACAGTTGTAACCAAAAGTTTGGACATTCCTGGACAAATTTGAACTTTTATTGATTTTTTTTAAGAGAAAAGCATTATGTGTAATTTTTTTTTGTACAGGCACAGGGACTTTATATTTGGTTAACTTGAAAAAGAAAAAAATAAATAGTAATTGTGGCATGTGCACAAGTTTGGATACCCTTCCAGTTGTAAAGTCTCAGACCTTAATTAGACTTGTTAATCCTTAATTGACTCTTTAAAAAATTAAATCAAAATTAAAACAATAAAATGTAAATGTGAACTTCTTTTTGCCATTTCTTTCTCCAAACATTTGCGCAAGTAAACTTGTTCGTATAACTTAGAAAACTATTTTGTATTCTCTATATAAATGCCAGTATAACATTTTCACAGTTTTGAGGCTGTTTGGTCTGACGGCATTTGGTTCAGTTTCACCTGATCTGAGACATGGCCATGGTTTTTCTAGAGACTCTAAGTGGTTTAGTCCAAGGAATGATGCCGTTCAGACTCTGAGGTCTGAGGTTGTCCTAAAATGTACCCCATAACCCTGCCTAACCAGCAGGTGGCGTCGATGTTCATTTGCCTTTTATTTTACTTGCGTCCACGCTGAAAACTGAATCACAAACTGTCATTTTGCGGTTGATTTATCCATTTTGCATTTTCATTTTGTCAGATATGCAGCCTATTGGTATGAAAACGAAATAAGAACATAAACATAACATTTTGATTTTAGTTTTGGCGCATATTACGCATTTCATGAAGAAAAGGCAAAGCCATATGGTCATGAAATACCAGAATAATGACTAATATGAAATGATAAATAGCAGTTTCAAATTCATTTTTATTTTTGTGACAAATTACTTGTGCTTATGTGAAAAATGTAATTGCAAATGTAGGTATTTCATTTCATTTTCACTTTTGGCAGGATATTTGCGCAGATGTTTGGAAAAAGAAGTGGCAAAAAGAGGTTTTCATTTACATTTTATTGTTTCAATTTTAATTTCTTTTTTGGCTGTATTTGCCTCCCATATTCTTTATTGTATTTCTTTCATTTTTTTTATTTTTTTATTTTTAGAGCTACAGGGTCTGAGCTCTTTATATCTAGACACATCAGGAGTTATCGGAGACCGCAGCACAACACCAGAGCATAACAACAGTCCTACTCACTTCATTTGCACAACAAATTTGAACCACTGCAAAGCCTCAGTGAGTTTTCTAAACGCGGTGAACATGATGCAGAAAGAACCGGAAGTGTCAGCTGGTCAGTGCATCCCGGCAGAGCCACAGGGCTCCAGCTCAACACAGCAGACACCCTTGTTTTTTGGGGATGACCGCTAGCGTTCGATGTCATAGACGTTGAACTGAATTAGAAACTTCCTACATTACTGGCTGTATGTACATTGTTCATGTTTGCAAGAATGACATAAAAACGAGTCTGAAATATTAAAAAGGGACTTTAATGTTCTCCTTAACATACTCAGCAAGCTCAATGTGCAGTCATTAATCAGTGGTCCTCTGCCTGCATGGAGAACTAGTATGTTCTCAAAGCTACTTGGATTAAACACTTGGGTACATAAAAGCTGCAGGTCAAGCAGACTAGACTTCATTGACAACTTTAACCAGTTTAACCACCTAATTTTCTCAACGTGCAACTTATCCACCCCCACTGGTGGAAGCACATCAGCACTGATACCTAAGAACTTAATCACTCTAGAGCCACAACTGAGCCAAGCCCCAGGTACAGCGAAAAATCTGCCCAGCTTTTTCTCCACCCTCTTCTACTGCCTCATCTCCACTTCCATCCTCTAGACTTTCCCCTAAGAAGTGTTAAGGTCTCAACCACCTGTAGCACCTCAAATAAAAGAGACAAGCTCCTCAACTGCTTGAAAGTCAGCTTCAGACTCATCGTAAGCAGGAGCTCCACCTGTCCTCTTCCACTGAAGAATAGAAGAGAGTGGGTGGAGCTCACATTTTCAAGTAATATGGCAATTGATAGTTTTTGGGTCCATGCTGCCACAGTGGTATTAACAGTACACGTTTTCAAAAAAAGCTTGGCCACTGTATGGCTGTAATCTCTCCCATACCAGTACTGACAGAAAAAGAAAGAACATGTAAGATAATGTGGATGTATCCAATCAGTGTGCAATATGTAAAATGTGAGTTACATTATTTGAGGCAAAGCGCACAGGTTTCTTATTTAATTACTGACTTTTTTAGAGCTTGTGTGCTTGATAATGAAAATAAAGTAACAATACACTGTGCAAATTTAATAGTTTGTTGAAGAGGGTTTTTTTTTACTTTTTCCATTTCAAAAAGCAGGAAAATAATGTAAATGGAGCAGGGGTGCCGAAACTTTTGCATACATCTCTAAGTACAGGTTTAAAAAGCTCTGGATATTCATCAGCAGTCATTTGAAATTTAAAGCGTCAGAGACATAATTCATTTTATTTGATAACATAGTAGAGTGATGACTTCCCACTTACAGTCTTCTCTTCTGAGTATTCCAGCTGTCTTGAATATTTGGAAAAGGAATACTTATAATAATAATAATAATAATGCATGTTTCACGGTTTCTGTCTAAACTAACTTTTCTGTATCTGTCTTTTACATCCAGGTTGTAAACCTCTTTAACATGTTCATCACATATGGAGACACATTCCTACCTACTCCCAGCAGTTATGATGAGCTGTATTACGAGATTGTTCGTATGCACCAGGTCTTTGACAACCTGTATTGCATGGGTGAGTTACCTTGTTTTTGTGTGCCTGTGAAATAAATTTAGGGCCCTAAATTAAAGTAATTGATTTGTCAATTGTCATAAATGCTTCATAATAGTTCTGTAAATGTTTTTCACAAGAGTGACATTGTCTTTATTTGAACTATAAACCATACTGGAGATTCACTGTGTAGCTTTAATGAATCTTTGATTTAGAAAGGTTCTATTGTGACTGAATTCTCACTTTTGTCTTGTTGCAATCTGATGTATGAGATGATGTGCTATTTCACATTGTCATAACTGACTCAATGGTTGAGGTGTTTAGCTTCTTATGATTCTTTGTGTTTGTGTTATGAATGTTAAATCCTCTTTGTGGTGTTTCAGTTCTCAGAGTTTCCACCAACGTAGGCCAGTGGAAGGAGCCTGCTAGTAAAGTCACTCATGCGCTGGTTAATGTCAGGTAGGCACTGATGCTCTCTTCATCTGTCTTGACTATTTTCACATAGTCTGTTCCCTGGTGAATTTGCAAGAATTCTGCAGAATGCAGTTTGATTTTGCGTATGATGTTTGCAATATATGATAGGGTTCTGCTTGAAGTACATTTGACACATGCTGCCTGAGAAGAAACTATGCTATTGTGAACTACTGTAGCATCATCTGTAGACGGTGGGCAAATTAAAAGATAAACCAGCGTGTGTCTTAGTAGTGGTGTGTAGCTAGCACAAGCAGCGAGAACTACTTTAATGCGTCTTGGCAAATTTCTGCAAGTCTCTGGAACTGTTCTGTTGAGATGGAGCACCATTCTTCACTCAGTTGGTGTGATGAGGATGGTGGTTGAGAGTGCTATCTGACACAGTGGTCCAAAATCTCCCATAGATGTTCAGTTGTGTCAAGATCAGGTGACTGAAGTACATAGCATGTGAGGTACATTGGTTTAATAGTAATCAAAACATTCATTAACCTCACATGCCCTGTTGATGGTGGCATTGTTATCCTGGAAGGGACCACTCCCATGAAGATAGAAATGTTTCATCATAGGATAAAGTGAGAATGTCATGTATTGTTTGCAGTGACCCTTGCCTCTAATGGGGACAAATCCCAGAAAAATGCCCCCCCCACAGCATGAGAGAGCCATCGGATCCTCTCACTGTAGGGATAAATCATTCAGGCCTGTACCGTTCTTAGTGTGCACATGCACTTGCCCACTTATTTAGAGGAAGGTGAAGTTTGTGCACTGCACTCCTGCACACCATAATATCACTCAACTTGTTGTCAGTAGATTGTTCTTGCTGACAGTCTGATCAAGTCTGCATTGACATTGTCACCTAAGAAACACTTTTTTTTTTTTCTTTTTACAAATTACACTAATGCACAAGTATTGCATTCATTAAATATGTGCTTTCAAACACAATGACCATTCATATTTACTGATGTCTGCCTCATAAATCTAAATGTAGCTGTAACTTTAGTCACTTTTTCTGTTAAAACCCTAGCAAGTTGAGAGGTCTTTGTGACTGAAGCTCCTGCTATCCATGCCCCAATAATGGACCCTCTTTCAGAGTTACCTTGATGTTTTCCTCTTGCCAAGTTAATCCAAAATGGAGGTCAACTGGACCTGCTCAAAATTCTTTTTCATGCCGCAGAGCATGGCAAGATGTTAATTACTTAATTGAATCGTGTAGTACACCTGTCTGGAAGGGTCTATATCTGTTATGTTTCTCCACCCATTTATTTGGGTTTTTCCATTTGTCACCTATCTGTATAATTTTAATAATGTTTATTAATGTTTTGTTGACCTTTCATTGAAATTTTATTTTGAAGCTGTACTCTGAATGCCTAGGATGAAACCAAAATCATTAGTACTGTTTTCTTATATACACTTCCCAGGCCTGTGCCTGCTGATGGTTAACAGTAACATCTCTGAGTAATGGTATAAACTCCTTTACCACCAGTTAAAAAAAAGTTGTTAATTTATTGATTTATGTAATACATAACCATAACCATAGCAAGATTCACACAGGTGAATATAATTAAATGTTTAAACATTTTGGGTGAGGTGATATCCTACATTAAGACCACACTTATTGTTCCTAGAATAATTTAAATTATTGCGCTGTGCTGTGTGAAAGTGCTCAATGCTGCAGGCGGATATCGTGCTTACAAAAAAGGCACCTATATGTTAGTGTACATTCTGTCACATCTTCAAACCGCAGCATTACAGTTTAGTCATCAGACAACAGCTTCAGGTCTCGACAGAAAAATACTGTCATGTCTCAGCTCTCGTACAATCAGGCTAAGCTAAGCAGTTACTAAACTGACCTTTTATTTGACAAAGATTGCTCTTTGTGCTTGCTCCCATGTCCACCTCTGAATTAGGAGCTGTCTAAAAATTGTCAGAAGAAAAAATGTTACCATTATCTATAAAGGCTTATTCCAGGGCTCCCAAGTAGTATAACCGAAGCATTGGCCCTATCATTAGGAGATTGTGAGCTCAATCCCTGGTAATGCTACAGCCATCCATGGCCAGGAGTCCAAAAGAAGGCAATTGGCCTTGCTCTCACTGGGGTGGGATGGCCCTTCAAAAACAAAAAACCTATATCGCTTGACATAGGCGTTATGTCAACTTGACATTTGAAGCTGATCCACATTAGCAGGTCTATTTGAGATTGTTTAACATGTCAACATAGTGTGAAACAAGTATGTGATTATTAAGGTATGCAGAATTGCTGGTGCTCACTCTGACATTGGTTTGTTTGGTCATTTTTACACATTTTACTTTTTTGGTCATATGTAATGGCAGAATTTTTTTAGTTTTGGTGTTATTTTCTCTGCCATTATTTTTTTGTTTAGAATGCAACTTGAATTTGAAGGAATAGTTAAGCAAAAAGCCTAATTTACATCATTTATCACTGAACCCAGATGCAGTCATTCAGCCAAGATCGGTATCTGTATCTGAGCTCTGCTTCTATAGTTTACAATGGGAGATGCTAGGCTAACATTGCTAACAAATGCTGGAGTTGGATTGTCACCAAATTCGTTGTCATAAATACATGCCAAAAATCCCACTTAAAACACTCAGTCTCGGTTGGTATCACCTGGTACTTTCCACAAGTTAATTCCTGTTGTATGAGGAGCTGCAGGTATGTCTGGCAAGTTGCTGGTGGGTCGAGCATCCAGCTGACACTTCATCATGTGAGCACTTAAGTTTAATTATATACAGTTGAACGTATGGTCATCAAAATTGTAATTGGCTATAGTTTTCATCTTTCAAGTACGAAAGCCTAGCATCCCTGCCAAGTTACTGTATGGCACGTGTGTCTGTTTAGGAATTCACATAGCACATATTTTTGATTGTATTCACTATTTGTAAATCACTTTGATGTGTCTGCTTGAAACAAATAAAGATTTTGACATGTTTTGAGCGGGTTCAGAGACCTTTTTGGGCCCGTATTTACAGAGAAGAGTTTGGTGACATTCCAACATCAGCGTTTGTTAGCAACGTTAGCCTAGCATCTCCTACTGTGAACTAGAGATTCAAATGTTAGTTATTAAACGCGTCTTGGCAGAACGACTGCATCTGGGGTAAGTGATAAATCCTGTAAATTTGATTTTTTTTACTGAGTTATTCCTTTAAACCTGTACAAGTCATGTAGGCTCAGAAACACATGAATGAAGCTACACTGAGCTTCTGTTGAATGGGGCAACTGGAAGGAGCACATTTGAAAACAACAGCATGATGAAAATAAGTAATGGAAAATATGGATGACTTTTAGTCCTCTGGCTTGTATGTGACATAGAACAGGCATGCGTAGGCCAGTATGTCGCTCAGATAGCCTGTTGTCTTTTAATCCTTCAACAGGTCTGTAAACTGGAAATGTTGAAAGTTTGTTAGTGGTTCATTCTATTGCTCATTATTGAATAAAAATATGTTACTAGCATAAGGTGGCGATGTTTTTATTGATTTTCTGTCCTCGTGGATTCAGGCTGAGTGCTAAAATGCTGATACACAGTCAGATAGGGTTTATTTTTAATTTCAGATTAGGTTACATATTTACTATCAGCTCTTTTTAATACGTAAAATGTAAATTTACAGAGCTACGTGTACCTTTTGTTCATTAGATTTTCATTTCAAAATTCAGTATTCAGTTTCACAGTTTCACAAACAAATCATAAAAACTAACACTACATTAACAATAATGGAATGAAGGGTCGTATTGTACTTATCCAAATTATCCAGAAATAAATGTGTAGAGTGCACATATGGTCACAGAAGCTCAGAAATCAGGCGGGCTGTTGTGGTTAAAATTAATGATGAATGTTGAGAAAATAAGGCCTAGTTCTGACATTTTGTGAGACTATATGATGTTTTGTAGAGGTGGTTTTGTATATTTGACATTGTTCTATCAGCAAAAAATTGAAGCGTTAGAATGATACTCGTACTGGCCATTTAACAGTGAAATGAGAAAAGAAAGGAGTCACGCTGCTCATTAATGACGTTATTCATTAATGTACACTTCACAAATGTGGGGATATTGGTGGCCAATTCCTTAAAGCCTGTGTAATAGAATCACTTCGTAATACATTTGTACATTGTACGATAAACTCAGAACTGATATCTGTTGGTTTTATGGACTACTTGTTAGAAATGGCGATTTTATATTTTTAGTTTTACTTACAAAACTTAAAATACACAACAGACAGACAAAACAGTTTGGGGAAGGCTCTTTTCTGTTCCAGCATGACTGTGCCCCAGTGCACAAAGTAAGGTGCATGGCTGGGTGAGTTTGGTGTGGAAGAACTTGACTGGCCCACACAGAGCCCTGACTGACCTCAACCCCATCAAACACCTTTGGGATGAACTACAACGGAGACTGCAAGCCAGGCCCTCTTGTCTATCATCAGTGTCTGACCTTGCAAATGCTCTTCTGGATGAATGAGCAAAAATTCCCACAGACACACTCCAAAATCTTGTAAAAAGCCTTCTTAGAAAAGTGGAAGCTGGTATAGCTGCAAAGGAGGGACCAATTATTTATTAATATATATGGATTTAGAATGGGGTGTCATAATGTCCTGTAGGTGTATTTTGGGCTGCCAATTACTTAAAGATTCTACAGCAGAATCACTTCATTTATATGTACTTAGTCTGATAAAGTCTGAACTGATAGCTTTTGGTTTTATGGACTACTGTTTTGAAATCAATTTTTTTATTAAAATACAGTGGACAAATTTTGGCTGCCAGTTACTTAGAGTGTACCGTACAATCACTTCATAATTCATATGTACATAGTATGTTCAACTCTGAACTTGTGTCTGCTGGTTTCATGAGCTACTTATTGTGAAATTACCATTTTGTAATGCAGTGAATTTGACTTCTAATACAAACTTGTGTGCTTTTTTTCTCAGGTCTGTTTGTGCTGTGATACTTACCGCTAAGTATCTAGTATTTGCGCACTTCACTGTTACGTGCGGCATGTTTAACCGTGTTTGGGAGAAAGGCAACTGGCTTAACCACTGTTGCGTGATCCGAGTACATGTGAAGATGAGTCGGACTTTGGCACACCACCAACAAAATACTTTTTTTAACTTGAGCGCATCAGCAGCTGATCTGGGGAGCACAAAGCCCCATTTAGCCCCAGTGGTGGGAGTTCAGTTTCTTCCTGTGCACTCTGCATGTTTATTTCCACCTCTGATGGGCAATTTTAAACTTGGATAAGTAAAATACAACCCTTCATTCCATTGTTGTTTGTTATTTGATTTTATCATATCAGCTATTTGTTTATTTTTTCACTGACAATAACAGAACCAAAAACAAGAATTGACTTCTCCAAATTGTAAATTTCCAATTACTTTAAATGGAAGTAAACATGCAGAGCACACGTATGGTCACAGAGGCTCAGAAATCAGGCCTGTTGTGCTGGTGTTTTGGTAGGCTGTGTTAGGCTTTGTATATGTGTTTGTATATTTGACTTTGCTCAGCTTTGCTTTGTCTGCCAAAAAAAATGATGATTCAAAGAAGAAACTAGACTCACGACATTTAACAGGGGGCTTCTTGTTTCCAAGATCAGCTGCTGAGGCGCTCAGATTAAGAAGTAATTTGTCAGTGCAGAATCCTGACTCCCCTTTGCGTGTACGCACGTCACACAGGTTTATGGACACTAAATTATACTCGTGAAGGAGATATTTTAGTTTAATATAACAAACGTCGTTTGGTGCAGCGTTTAGAGAATTGAATGTCTTTCGGTCATAGTGATAATTATTGTAGTGTCTTGGTGAAGAAGGAGACACGAGAGAGGCCAGGGTTCTGCTGGGAGATGCGCTCTTTGTTCTCCCTAGCAAAAAGGCGGTATCTCTTGCCTGATTTCAGTATGGTGAACAGGTCATGTGCTGGGTGACTACTGTCCAACTAGATCGTTTTTTTTTTTTTTCCTCAGCCAACGGGACAGATAGATGTCCTGTAAGGCTGGTGGTTTGTTGCCTATGATGGATTCTGCTGTCGTCACTACTCCCTTAAGGGACTTGCGGTCGCATGCAGTGCAGCTGCCATACCAGACAGTGATGCAGCCCATGAGGATGCTCTCTGTGGTGCATCTGTAGAAGCTGGTGAGGATGTCAGAGGACAGTCCAAACTTTTTGAGCCTACACAGGAAGAAGAGACGCTGACAGGCAGATCTCACAGTTGTTTGTGTGGAGGGAACGGTGAAGTCATCAGCAAGGTGTACTCTGAGGAACTTAACACTGCTGATTTTCTCCACTTCAGCTGCAGTGATGTATGGGGAGAGTGTCCACCCCTCTGCAGCTTCCTGTTGTTCATGATCATCCACTTTGTTTTCCTGATGTTAAGACTGAGATTGCTGTCATAGCACCATTCTGGCAGAGCTCTGTGATGAGGCCTAGGATGGTACTGTCCTCAGCAATCTTGAAGATGATGTTAGATGTGTGTTTAGCTGCACAGTCATGTGTACACAGGGAGTACAAGAGGGGGCTGAGTGTACATCCCTGAGGAGCCCCTGTGTTCAGTCAGTGTGGAAGAGATGCCACTCTGTCCCTGTAGTTCCTTTTGGCCAGCCTGATGGTCCAGGTGATATAGCATGTGATGGAGTGTATTCATCACAAAAAAATCTTCCAGTCTGTAGATTCAAAGTAGTCCTGAAGTGTCCTGACTCCATTGACAGTGTTCTCATGTCTGACGGTCTCATTGATGGTCTCATACATAACTTGAAATGCACATGACTTATCTGAGGTGAGATGTAGACCATAGTGAGGATGACTGAGCTGAAGTCTCTGGGCAGAAAAAAAGGTTGAACTTTGACTGTTATGAGTTCAGTGTCTGAAGAAGCTTCTTCCTGCTCCACCGGCGAGCACATGTTGGTAAACAAAGAAGCCACAGAGGGGCAGCCGCTTGTGTCCGTGTATGTCTTTGTGTTAGGGTGCCTCTTGAGCGATGATCGGATGTTCAGTATGATGATGATGATGATGATGATGATGATGAACTTTGTTTCCTATCACAATGAACGTAATTCATTTTTAAGTACGGCTCAAGTACTTTTGTGGCCACTGCATCTTTCAGAGTTACCTTATGTTGCACCTTATGTGCTTTGGTGCAGTATGACAGTTTTGGACCTACTGTGTTTTGTATTTTCAGAGCCATCATTAACCATTTCAACCCCAAGATTGAGTCCTATGCTGCTGTGAACCACATTTCCCAACTTTCAGAGGATCAGGTAAATTACTTTACAATGTGAAACATCCAGGGATGGAAAATACTTGAGTAATTGTACTTTATTTTACTTGAGTATTGTTTTTGAAAGAAAAAAAAAAAAAACATACTTTTTACTTCTAACATTTTCACTGAGACTTGCAAAGTACTTACAAATCTCAAAGGCCAAGAGATTTTTCTCTTTTTCTTTTTTGCTCACCAATCAGTTAAGTTAACCTGTCTTGGAGTATACTGTTTTTCTATTAAAACATCCAAACAGTTTCTTCATTGTGAAATCATTTGTATTTGTGAGACTGGTACTGCCAGTCATTTGCTGTGCTACATACCACTGCATCACACATCCTCAAAGACAACTTTTAATTTTTTTTTTTTAAACATTTATTGTTTTTTATACTTTTAACTTTTACATATATTCTTTGATAAAGAATTTTACAAAGTGTCCATACTTTCCTTTAAGTATAATTTCTCTCGACTTTTTCCACACCTGGACACATACATGATGCAAGAGTGCACAACTCCAGTCCTGGAGGGCTGTTGTCTAGCACAGTTTGGTGATTTCCCTGCTCAAACACATCTGATTCAACTTGTCAATAAGAAACTACAAAACTGTGCTGGACACCGGCCCTAGAGGACCAGAGTTTTGCACCACTGACATTGACCTTAGCATTTAACTTACATTTACACTACCTTTTTGCTTACTTCAGTTTTTCTAAATATACTTGTACACTTTTAGTGTATTAGATTCTGTGCATCAGTGAGTGCACCAAGTGAACTCTTGAGGTCACTCAAATGCTCAAAGTGTTGCTGTATCTGTAGAAAGAATTTGCTTCCTTCAGAAAACCAGAAATCACCAATATTCAGATTTATATTTATGACATGCTTTATGACCACTGCATATTGGAAAACTGAAGGCCACCCCTGTTGTATGGTAATGATATATGGTATATGACAAGCGGACCCTGGCTCGTTTATTATTCCAAATAAAAATTATGAGGAGCTTTCTAAGGGTTATAATATGTGGGGGGCAGAGTGGAATATTCTGAAATAAGTAAATAAGGCAGTATGGTCATTTTAATTGTACTTATACGGGCTGTAAGTGGGTAAGGTTTTCCATCTTTCACTGGATTTGGAAATAAGTCTAGAAGAGGTTGATAGTTGACTGAAAATATCAATTTCTGTTGTAATTTTGATTCCTAAATAAGTGAGAGAGTCAGTAATATCAAAATCTGATGCAACCTGTGATATGTTTTGTCTTTCATAATTATTTAATAGTAGGATGGATGACACTGGAAACTAACTTGTTTGTGTGCTTATGCACCAAACAGCTGTTTGGAGTATTCAGCCTTTTTGGAGCAAGTGGGTGGGGTTCTGGAAAGGGCCCCGCCTACAGTCTTGTAGAGGGAGTCATAGTCTTGCTGAGAGACTTCAGTACTCATGTTGGCAATGACTGGGAGACCTGGATGGGGGTGATTGGGAAGAATGGACTGCCTGATCTAAATTTGAATAGTGAATTGTTATTGGACTTGTGCTAGGCATGGATTGTCCATAACGGAAAGTTCGAACACAAGGATGTTCAGAAGTGTACGTGGTACTAGAGCTCCTTGGGTCAAAGGTCAGTGATCAACTTTGCTGTCGTTTTATCTGACTTGGTACCAAATGTTTTAGACACTTGGGTGAAGAGAGGTGCTGAGCTGTCAACTGATCACCCTCTGGTGGTGAGATGGATCAGATGGCAGGGAAGACTGGTGGTCAGACCTCATAGGCCCAAGCAAATAGTGAGGGTGTGCTGGGAACGACTGGCAGAGGCCTCTGTTTGGGATGATTTTAACTCCCACCATGGGAAAGCTTTTCTCATGTTCCGGAGGAGGTAGGGGACATGAAGTCTGAATTGACCCTGTTCAAAACCTTCATCAAGGAAGCCGCCAGGCGTAGCTGTGGCCAAAAGCTTGTTGGTGCCTGTCAGGGTGGTAATCCAAGCACCCATGTGAGGGAGGCAGTCAAGCTGAAGAAGGAGGCCTTTAGGGACTGGATAGATGGCCCGGAGGACTCCTGACTCAGCAGACAGGTCTCCATGAGCAAAAAAGGTGGCAGCGGTGGCTGAAGCAAAATCCAGAGTGTCCGAGAAACTCTGACTTCAAATTAGGACTCCTAAACCCGGGAGACATGCCTCCCTTCCTCGCCTTTTTCAAGATGTAGTATATTAAGCATTGTCCTGACATTGTGGAAACCTTAATGGCCATGTATAAAACCATTCTGATCCTGTCGCACTATGTCTGGTGAAAGGTTCTCCAACCTACTTGCCAGTATTTTGCTTAAGATTTTGACCTCTTTGTTGAGCAGTGATATTGGCCGATGTGATTGAAATTTGTTGCTTGGTTTATTAGGTTTAAGTAATAGAATAATTAGAGCTTCTCTTAAGGAATTATGCCATTTTTATATGATTTGGTAAACATTTCAGATAGTGATGTAAGAATCTTTTGTTTAAATTTCTTGTAAAAATCAACTATGATTCCATCTGGTCCAGGTGCTCGACCTGCTGAGAGTTTGTCAATAGCCTCCGTGATTTCCTGTGGTGATATGTCAGTACCCAGCGCCTCTTTTAATTTATAAGAGATGCTGGATATGTTAAGGCTATCCAAGAAGGTTGTCTGTAAGATAGTTTTATCAGAGTATTCTGAGCTATAGATTGTTTCAAAGAAGGATATGAAAATATCATTTATTTTTTCTAGGTCTAGAGTATTATTGCCATTTCTGTCCTGAATTGCATCAACTGCTCTCTTTGATTGTTTTTGTTTGATTCTCCATGCCAGAGGTTTTCCTGGTTTATCACCTTGAGTGGTTTTCCTTGAAGCTAGCAGCTGCCTTGTTCGCCGAGAGTTCATTATAACAAGCTCCCAAAGTCAGCAGTTCCTGATGGGTATTTAAGTCATTTTTAAGGGACAAATTCTTTTCTAGGATCTTAATTTTACGTCCTAATGTATTAATTTCGTTTTTAAAGCCTTTTGATTTACTACACGTAAAACTTGTGTGGCCTCTTATGAAGTCTTGAAATGCTGGCCATGAAAGTTTGTGCCAGATTTATTTCAAAAAACAATTTTGTTTGCTGCCCAATATACTATAAAATGTTCATTTAGTAGCCATTTTGATTGCATTCTTCATCTTGGAGGGTCACCTGGTAACTTTGGCATGAGTATAAACAAACATTGTAGGGGCATGGTCTGATATATATGGTCTATAGTTTCATAACAGCAGTTGCTAGTACTTGACATGAGTGGCTGGAACTATATATAGTTAAACTATGTAGAATACTGTATATCATTAAGGTTTAGTTCTCTCCATACCTCAATAAGATTTAAATTGTTGATTGTGTTGCAGAATTGTCCAAGATTGTTTGTGTGTGAGATCTAGCCCTGATGTATGGTCTTTAACTGGATCTAAAGTGCAATTAAAATCCCCCCATGACAAAATAACTTGAAAAAGTAGACAGGGTTAGAAAAAGATTACTATAAAATTTGGGAATATCCTCATTGGGGCCATAGACATTGACAAGGTTCAGTGTCTTTGTTAATAATGTACCTTGTACAATTATATATCTTTCTGAGTGGTCCCTTATTGTTTTAACCTTTTGAAATGGTACTGATTTATGAATCAAAGTGATAACCCCTCTTGCATGAGAACTAAAGGAGGCTGAAAACACTTGACCGGGCCATATATTGCGTATTTTGGAAATATCACTGGGCATTAAATTATTTAGTTTCTTGCAAAAAAAAAAAATTTAATTGCAGCTGTTCTAGCCTGGCCATCCTCTGTTTGGTTTTAATTGTACTGTGAAGACCCCTGCAATTCCAGGAAACAAATTTGACCTGAGCAACTGCCATAACTGTATCTTGAATAGTAAATTTGCCCTCTCTCAGCCACTCTGCAGTATAAAACAACCTGTAAGGTAAAGAAAGAAAAATGTACAAAAGTGTGTTTTTGTAAACATTGAACAATTGAAAAAACAGATTAACAAGAACTCTAAAACAACAAGTAAATAAACCACCCCTTTTCCAGAATTACTTCCAGGGACTCCGTGGATCCACCAAAACTAAACAGGAAAAAAGCCTCCCCTCATATATGCCTTTATCCCCTTTAGTATCAAAGCCGTTAGGCATCATTGTTGATAACAAAATATTGTAAGAAAGCATATGTAAACTCCATCTGTCAAAATTTTTTGAGAAAATGAAAACGAGAAAGAAAAAGAGAAAGGTTGACGCATGTAAAACATAACATTGCACAATTCTCAAGTTCAACAAAAGCTAAACCACAGATCTGGTTATTGAAGGCCTTTGATAATTGATAAACTGCCTATTAGTGCATGGGTTATATCCAAGTTTTTCAAACATCAGCACCCTTCTAGCAGTCACCAAGCATGCTTTATGTGCTCTTTTCTCTACCTCAGATGGGCTCTGGAAGATGTGTGACTGGCTGTTGAAGGATACTTGAAGAGAAGCTGGGAGGATAAACCCATAGTCAAGACTTTTAGCTCTTAGCTGCTTCTTGACTTTGTCAAACTGCCTCTGTTGTTTGTTGACCTCCGCATCACCCGGTGGTTTTTAAACAGAACCTCTTTTTTTCCGTCTGGCCGCATTTTTTCACGTACCTTGTTGTATTCCAGAAATTTCATAATTATAGCTCTTGGGGCTGCATTCATGTTTGATGCAGATCTTTGAATCCTGTAAGCTGTGAGCTCTCTCTATGACCGCAGTGGCTCCATTTCCAGTGCCTCCGGGAGCCAGCTTTCTAAAAATGTACATGCATCTGTGCCCTCTCCTTTTTCAGGCAAACCAAGTCTACAGATGTGACAATACCTGTAGATACCTATAGAAACTCTGCCTGATGTTGATTGACCAATGCAATGTTCTCCAATCGTTGGTTATTTTTTACATCATGGAAAAGGCTAAAAAAAATCACCTGTAACTGATTATATCAAACTTTATTTTCACTCAGAAATACATCGAGGGT